GTGCAACTGATAAATAACAGGTGCTCAGTGCAAAGGAATGTAGGCACATAACAAAGGCTGTATAGGGTTAAAACATTGGGATTTTGCCTGCAGCTGTCCACAATAAATATGCATAAGTTCATTTTTTGCTTAGTTATGGATTCATCCACCTGTTTTCCTAAGAGTGCCAGACATTTTGAACTCTAATTATTACCAGGTCCTATCCAAAGTCCATTTCACACAAAAGAAGTTGTCAGTGATCTCGAGGAGCAGGGATCAAGCCATATGGAACAGTTTCACTACCATATTTATATTACAGACTCTCATTTTTGACCTTACATTTGATCCTTCTGCAAAAGGCTTAAAAATTCTGTGCTGTTCTTATTTCCAGGTAGTTTTTGAAAACAAACCTGTGCTGCTGTTAAATTATTCCAACAGATATTGCTGCAGGACCACAAAGTGGATGGGGGGTTGAGAGCTGTGGCACCAGTGAGCAGAGATGGATGTTGCTCTGCTGATGGCTCCCAGCTCAATTCAGCCTCCAGACCTCCCCAAGCCAACTTTAAGGCTCTCTCCAGAGCTGATTCAGCAGCAGCACAACATTGCCCATAAAGTAGATGAGGTGTTGCTGCCTCAGAAGTGAGCACGCGTCCTTCTCCAGACCACCTTTCTGCTCCCCAGTAACACTCCTGATGCTTCTTGCTTCCTACCTGTTCTCTTTCACTATGATCTTACCAGTTTATGTCTGACAATTTTGTCTCTGTTGCCTTGGTTCCCAGGGAGAGCCATAGGGTATCCTACAGGCATAGTTCATCAGTAAATCCACAGGTGGAATCACAGCCCTCAGTAATATAACCTTATCAGGAAAATACCTGTAATCTGTGAATACTCCAGAAAATGTTGCATCATGATTTAACAAACAAAAAAAACCCCAAACCATAAACCAGCAACAGCAAAGAAGTACCTAGAGAATTCCATGAGCAGAACAGAACAGCTCTGTAGATAATCAGATGTACAAGCTATCAAGCATTAGCAATTTCCAGTTGGTTTTGGGGTCTATTTTATAAATCTAGAATTGCATCACATAATATTATTTAATAACAGATGTAATTGTGTAAGGCTTTATATTGTGCAACCTGGCCTTCTCTATTCTCCATTTTCCTTCTTAGTGAAACAATCAGTGAAGCAATTTCTTGAGCATGGCTATTCTGAATTGTTATGCTTTGCTTTATAACAAAACCTCTAGTTAATCAACATCAGACAAATATTTTTTTATTTTTATTATTATTTTATGTTTATTTCATTGAAGATGCTGGCTAGTCCTGAAACTGAGGCTGTAGAAATGTGGTTTGCATGTTCATTGACACCTCTCTGCACAATTAGGTTTTGGTGTGAGTCACCTGGGATGAAGATGTTTGTCAGCCAGGGTTTGGGAGGTTCATGGACATGATTAAGTGATGCTGTCCCAAGAAGCTAGTGCACATAAAACCAAACAAAATCTGTCTTCCAGTCTTGGCAAGTAAATAGAGGAAGAGCTGGCCTAGACTTTGTTCTTTAATACATCTTTAGTTGTTATTTAAATTTCTTCATTACTTCTTTATACTTACATTAGCAGACTAAGCTAAAATATCATGAGTAGTTTTCCTTTCTTCAATATTTTAATTTACATTAGCTGTTAGTTAGACCTACTTATGTGACCCACCAGTAACAGTCAATGGCTTGGAAATAAAAAAACCAAACCTACAAACCAGTCAGGAAGATTATTTCCACCAATCGATTTGCTTTTTAAAGGGCTGGAACACAAAGTTTGAAATATCTGCTCTTAAAAATACACTAGTTAGCCAAGATGTATTTCCTTGTATTTCCTTCCTTCATGCAGCACAGTCATGATTGTTTGAAGAAGAAGAGATGGAATCCCCCCATGGATCTGGATGCAGAGTAGGGATGCTTGCTGACTGTGCCCCAGGAGAGGCTGAGGAGAAATCAGCTCTTGGTCCAGGCTGACGTTCACTTAACTGATCCCTGCTCTCTCTTTCTAAGTACTCTGCAACTAAATCTTAGATCAGATATATTCTCTTGACAGAAGTATTTTTTTAAATTAGAGGGTGTGTTAATTTCTGTGCAGCACCTTTAGCTTCTGAAAGTTGCTGCAGTTCAGTGGATGTCTAATTATTTATTCATTTATTTTTGAGATATCAGCATTTTATAAAACACTGTATATCCTAGGCAGAGATTTTTATTGGAATATATTGTATTAAAAGACCATTTATGTAATAGAATATTATATATTAAAACACAAGGCTCAATGCATTGTATATATATAATATAATTATTCCTGTTATAAACAATTAATTCTGTAAAATTGATTACTAAATTACAAGTTATTTTCCAAAGTTCTGAAAATAAGACATCTAATCACAAGAGAATCTCACGTAACAGTTAAAAAAATTTCCATATTCCCAGGTGTAAAGAAAGCTCAAAAACCTAAGCTGAATGCAAACTGAACAGACCAAAAGGGAATAAACACACACATATTTGTGAAAGACTTCTGCAAGCTGATTTCTTTCTGTCAGTAGAAGCCTGGTAATAGTTGATGAGACACATGATTAAAACTAATAACTGCTAGCAAGCAAAAACTGAAATATTTACACAAGTATGGAATCTTTTACTGAACCCTGGGCCAAAATGCCTTTTCTGGTATGGCTGAGAAATGTTAAGAGCCATATTTTCCTTTTAAACTAATACTCAGAAATAAAAAATACAATAAGATTTCAGAATGGAATCTCCTGGGAGTTGAATAATACTTTTCATTAGAGTTTGCTGCAGCAAGTCAGACTGTACTTGCTAGTGCTGAGAATTAAAAAGGTAATTAGCAAAAACCAGGCAGAGATGCTTAACTGGATGAACTGGATTTCATCTGTACAGCTCATATGTGATGCAAAAAGACTGCCAAGACAAGATGAAGACAGACTTAAGACTTTGCTTTGTATTTTCCTTGGATATGCAAATACAAGCACACAAGATTAAAGGTACATTTTTAATAAAGTCCTATAGCTATAGTACATGATGCAAAATTGCACTCGACTTTAGGAGCCTGGCCCACATAATAAACTTTATGGATGAGAAGTTAGTAATTGATTTGGCTCTCTGTTGAAGACAAAGACTTATTTCTCAGAAGCATCAGCATAAGCTGTAAAGGGACATGTAGTTTATGGGAAAAACGTGCATTGAAGAAGGATACTGATTTTACCATAAGTGATCTGCTTCAGGAAGAAAGTTCTGCAAAGAAATATCCCCTCAACTCAATAAAAATATGAAGCATTTCTTCCAAGTAAGCCCAAACTTTTTTAGTTGGGATTACCCCGTGCAATAAATATGGAAAGAATAGCCCTTAAAAACTAACTGGTCTTACTAAGCATCACTAATAATTTATTTTTAAATCTAACACATATATGCAAAGAGAACTTAGCAAAAAAATTCTGAATTTTGCAGCAAATGATTTTCCTTGCAGATTAGCATCCAGAATATTTTCAGTGTAAGTGGGTATCAATAAAAAAGACATCAAGGGTACTGAGCAAGAATTCTTCCTTGTTTTTTATAATATTTCAAAAGTAATGATCTTAAGAACCTGGAATAGGATAAACTACAGAGTACTAACACTAGAAAAACTAGTTTTGTTTTATCTAGTTAATGGTAGTAATGTTGCTGCAAATGTGGATGCCAGTATTTTAATGATACATATTTTTGATATGTATCAATAAATTATATTTACATTATAAATTTTGTAATTTAAGATTCCTTTTAACAGTATCAAAGAGCTTTAAATAATTTGAATGCAATGGGGTAAATCTAGTTCAACTGAAAATCTTGACCCTTTTAGTGCTGTTCTGTTTGACATTTCTGTGTGTCCTGAGATATTATGAAAAGATTTTAATATTCAGAATATGAAGAAGTAAATCATTAAGTATAATTTTTCTAGCAGATGAATTCACTGTTCACTGGTGTTGGTACTCCATTGTTTTGCATCTGGTGTAGTAATTTAGAGATGTGCATAGTCAGTGCAAAACATTACAAAATTAGAATCAGATTTTTCCAAATCCCTTTATGAAGGTGCTCAAATGTAAGGCAGAAAACTGGAAAGTTACTTCCAGTGTCTTGTGGATCTCCTTTGGATATCAGGCTAGATTCTAATTTTTATTCAACTAAATTCTTCAGAACTGATTCTTTTTATTGTTAATTTACAGTCAAGGATGAGATATACGGACCTGAACTCAAAGAGTTCAGCCATGTACAGCATGGTTTCTTTGAACAAAATGTAACCTGTGGTAAATAGGGGTAGACTCTCCATTATTCTCCATGGGGGGTTTTTTAGGCATTTTCTGGAATTCTTACAAGAAGAGTCTGCTCTGTGTGCTTTGCTGGACAGAATACGCACAAAAATATTTTCAAACTAAATGCAGCTGGTTCTAATCCTCTGATAATTCAATCTACATGAATCCCTAGCTTTAACATGAACCAAGCCATCTGTAAAATGTTAGTTACATTATAAGACACAAATCTAGTTTTTGACCAGATCCGAGCCAATCAATAAGTCTTTCTTTCTTTGATCTTTGTATTTTCTGGAATAATGGCAAGAAACCAAATCAAAGTCACCACAAAATCAATCCAAGCCTCAATACACCTTTAAAACTACTAGGAACAATTTTTGATGAGGGGCTTCATTGCTGGTAGAGTTTCTCTCCTTGCGACATGCATTCCAGTTGTGATTCAAATTTTTCTGCTGAAATGAGAGGATAAACTGTACTTGCAATCATATAGCAAGCAGTAGGAATCCTAAAAAGGTAATTTTCTTTTAAAAGATATATATGGCCTTCCTTGGCTTATTTCAGATGAAATCCAGACCAATTTGTTTAAATAACCAGTAAAGACAGTACAGGAACTAAATACAGGAAGAATGCTGAGAAAAAATAAAATGCAGCCAATTCCAAGTACACTGAAAGAATTTTATTAATATTGCATATTCACATTACATTCAATAAGAACATTCATGTGTTTATTCCATACTCTCACACTTCAGCTATAATGTGGTTCCAGTGACATTTACAGATAACAGTTGGTGTTTAAAAACCCCAGGGTTGTTTTATTAAAAGACGATGAATTTGCATAAGAAATTACATTCTTTTTGTGAAAGTCCTTTTATGCATCATGTAGTTTTTCTCCATTTGTGAGACACATCTTATTGAGCAGGATTTTCACTACCCCACATTTAAATAAGATAGACATAGTGAAGTAGGAAAGAGCATAAAGCACTGCTGCTGGAATAGGCCAATATTTTGATTTTTCTTGGTGCAATTTTGCATGCAAGGGAGGGATGAGCGGAGTATGAAACTGGTGTCTGCCCTCCAACTCCTCTCTGGACCTTGACAAAAGACAGTAATACTCAAAATGCTCTCAAGTAATTTTTTGGCTACATACAAAGATGATTCAAATGGAGCTCTTCACTTTCTGCTGAAAACAGCATATTTTTAGCAGGATTCCTCCTATGTGCATAAACCCATAAGGCACAGAAGTCAAGAAAAAGGTTACTAATTTGATTCCATGTCTGCTAAAGAGAGGCTGGTCTATCCCTCTAGTTGTCAGGCATAATTAATAAGTTTCCCTTCACAATTTTTTTCCTCCCTATTCCTGCAATCCTGCATTTTTCTTGCCATCTGATTAATGCTTATTAGCTTTACAATACCGTTTTTGCAGTTCTCAAAACCAATCACTTCTTTACTGATGTGGAACCAGCTACAGTAATTTAATAGCTCTTCCAAACACCTGCCATCACAATCAAGCTTCTACTGCTTCATTTACCTGAATCCCTTATGGTCTGTGTAGTGGTATTTTCATTTGAACTAGTAACTAAGGTCTACTACTGCCTGATGCTTTTTGCCTTTTCCACTTATCTGGTACCTTTATAGTCTCCTCTTAAACCAGAGGACTGGATGCTCATCCTCTTCTTCCATTCTGGTAAAATAATTGGGCAGACTCCATTGTTTCATCCACTCTGCTGGTGTGCTGTGCCATGGAAATGGTTTTTCACAGTTTTATGGTCAGTGCAGGTAACTGGTACTCCCTGCTCTGTACTCCCTGCTGCTGGAAGGCTGACATAGGTAGGGAGGGACGTGACAAAAAGAACATTCAGTTCCGATCTCCTGGGCTTCAGAACATAACCTGAAGTACAAAATATAGTAGCAATCATACTGAAATTAGAAAAATACGAGAGATGAGTCAATTTCAGTATTCCTATGCTGCCACCTGTCCTCTTCCAGCAAGATTCTGGTCTGACAGACTTTGTAAAAGAAGACTTAAAACAGATCTTGATCTTCACAAACTGCAACAGCTGGAGCTGCGCACAATGGCTTTCCACATGAAGAAAATGCTGGTGACATCTCTAAACCCTTAGATTTGGCAGAGGAAAATAGTATATATAGCCAAAATAATCTGTTTGGTGCATCTTTTATTCAAAACCAAAATGTCATTCTGTGTCATGCATACTTCAACCAAAGCATGCAGAGCTACACAATGAGACAGGAAACCCTTAAAAGGCTTACACAGAAACAGAGATTACTGGAACTTTGAGGTCACTATGAAGCCATTAGAAATTTTACTGTTTTAATTTGAAACAAAGAAACTTCAGAATACCACAGATGTGATGTGGGACTGGAGCAGGCAGTCAACCTGGCAGGGCCGTCTGAGCCAAAGAACCTCTTCTATCTCACAGCAGAAGGGAAGATTGTCGAAGGTTTGGCAGAGCAAATAGGAAAAAAAAAAAAGATTTAAAAACATTTAGAAATGTCCGCTGAAGAGGACTGAGTTGCCTGCTCTGAAATGTGGTAAAGGAGTGTACAAAGCCTGAAACACCATTCATAATGTTACAGGAATGGTTGAGATTTTTTTTTTTTGCCAAATTTGACCCTGTACTGTCCCTGTTTTCCTCACCTATGAAGTCCTAAGGAAACTGGCCCTTCATAGTTCAGGGTTTATTTCCTTAAAACATGTTATACCTCTGAAAATATGGAGCTGCAGAGCCCAGTGCCCATGCTTGAACTACCTGTGGAAATCCTACCTCCACTGGTTGCTGTTCAAAGGATGAATTTATGAGCACCTGGATATTAAAAATCTGTCTTCAATGCCTGTCTCATAACTTCAACAATATTAGTTTTTTAATGGCATTTTTCTTCCTCTTATGAGAAGCATTGCCTTTGCCTGTGACACCATCTATGCATCACATGATGCTCAGGAAGCAATTTTCTCATATCTTGTCTCCAGCCTAAAACATTCTCTGTATGTAGAGTAAACCCTGGGACATGTGGCCCATTAAGGATTTTGTCAAAGCAGCACATTTTCAAAGGACAAATGTCCTAATTCACCAATATTATATTTTAAACAAAACAAAAAGACCAAGTTTTTCTGGGAACTCACCTTTGCCTCCAGCACGATTTCCCAAGCATTACAAACCACATAAAAGGACAAAGGATACTTCAGTGCCAGTCCAGAGAGACCTGAGCCAAGAAATACCTTTCCAGGAGGAAGATCACAGACATTGAGATCACATGCCTGGAAAAAGGTAGAATTGTTTGCTTTCTTATGTTTTCAGGACCAATTTGACGAGATATTACTCAAGAAATGATTGAAAGCCTACCCACCCAAGTGAAACCCCAGATTTGGATGCACAGTCTGTGTTGCTGCCATCTGCTGTTTTCATGTGGAATGGAAAATTTCAAATTATTTTCTCCCCCTACCACATTTTTTCAATTTTTAAATACAGTCATATAAGGAAGATTAGAGGGAGAGCTTTCTTTTTCACAATTCTTGATTTAAAAATGTTAATTTACTAATTTAACCTGAGAAACTTTCCTTTAATTTTGTTTTGCTGCCTATTTCAGAGCTGGCTTTAGAAGTTTTTGGTTTTTTTTGTTTTTTTGGTTATTTTTTGATAAACATGAATTCCCATTTGGGATAAAGGAAAAGGTTGTCCACTTGTACAGAAGAGCAAAGAAAGCAGATTAATATGGGAAATAATGTATTCATTTGGGTGTATTATATTTTTTCTATGAGTAAATTTTAATTGGATGACTTGCATAAATGGAATGTAAATTTCTCTACAGCACAGCATGGATGTGGTGCTTTAAAAGCCAAAGTTCAACTGCTGATTTCATTAATTAGGAACTATAATTAGTAAATGTAGGGTAGGTAAAGGAAATGAAAACAAATGTGCTTCATTAACTGTTCTTCAGGCACAGGTAAATATGAGCTCATTCACTGCAACTGTGCACTGCATGCCTGAGACAGCCCTATTAGGAATAAAGTAATAACCTACTGCCTTTGACTACAGAACAGCTCACTCCCCTGGTTACATTTGTTAGGGATCCATTACTAGGAATCACAGTGCAAGGCAAGTTTGAAGTTTCCTCTTTGAATCTTTACAATTGTGACCCACAGAAAGATCAATTATCACTGTCCCTATTCCACTATGAGCCTCAATGACCTTGGAGGTCTTCTCAAAGCAGGAGATATTAAGATGAATGGTTTTGATAACCAGTAGGAAACCAAGATTAGAATTATATTTTCTTGATTAATTGTGATAATAATATTATCAATTTACAAAGACACAATCAGTTGCCTCATTAGACTTTGCAAGTGGTACATAATTTCTGTATGACCCATCTGAATGCTGTGTGTCCCTGAGACTGGCAGAAGCTCCTTCCTACAGCTACAACTTCTCTTGGGGCAGTAAAGTAAATGTTTGATTGGAGAATACCAATCACTAAAAGCTCAGTTGTACATTGTTGGTATGCAGAGAGCAGCCTTGCCCTCAATCCAAGTTATCTGTAGATAGCTATTATTGCAAAATTAATATTTTTTGAATGGCAGTAGAGTTTCTTTCCACTTTATTTCAGTCTAGCCCATGCTGACCAGTTTTTGGTCTTCACTCTCCAGCCTGTGTCTTACACTGACACCCTTGTTGGTGCTCTCACCCTGTAGAACAGAAGTTGATCACTGTGCTGCTCACTGAACTAGGGCACTACCATTATCCTTTCTAAAGGAAAGCATCACACACCTGCCCTGGTGGCTAATAACCAGGACAGAGGATGGTTGTCACAACTTAAAAAGGTAGAAATGGAAATGGAAAAGAATCCTGAGCTCACAGAGGGGACAAGGCCAGACTTAAGAGATAAACCTATTGCTGAGTATGGCATAGCTGAAAGACAATAAAAGATTCCTTAAACTGGGCAGAACAGCACAAAAGAAAACCAAAACCTCCTAAACCATGCCTGTTCATTTTTTATTATGGGGTGGGCTGCAGCCTGCCAGCCTGTTTTAAAATCAACACTTCACAGCAAGAAACTACGCAGCAATGTATCACTTCTCTGCAGGCACTTCCTTCCCCTGACAAATGGTTCAGGCACAGTAATAGCTTAACCAGAACTGCACTGAGGGAGGAGGATCTATAGGAAAGAAATCTGTATTTATTTACAGACACGTACACAGGCACACAGCTTATTGTGCAGAGCAGCTTCTTATTGTGGAAAATGAACTGCATAAAATGCAAAGCTACAGGAGATGTTTTAACACTCAGGGGAAAAAAATAAATTCCACATGTTACACTAATTTATTCTGTCCCCAAGCGGGATCTCCATAAATTTCTCAGTCGAAAAATCAGCTCCTCTTCCAGCAGTTTTAAGACTTACTAGTTAGCACTCCTTCTTAACATCACTAACCTGCTAGCCTTACATTTTCCTAATTTTTCTAAGAAAGGAGAACGGAAAAGGGATTGTTTGGGAGCTCATCACAGTGCTCCCTGAGTACAAGCTGAAGCACATTTTTTCCTGAGGCAGAGAAGAAACTGCACCCTAATGTAAATGGCTGATACAAAGCCAATACACCAATTTATGCCTCAGCTAAATCCTTAACTTAGCACTTATGTAAGACATTAGACTTTTATAGCACTTGGACCAAGGTAGGAATTCATGAGGAGCTCACTAATTTGAGAAAACAACTTGAGTGTGCTTTTCAGTACGACAAACCAGACCACTTATCCAATTAAGGAGAGATGAAGGAAGATAAATTCTATTTTGCCAGCTTTCTGAAATGTTTTTCAGATTTTCTCATTTAATACAAGCTTGATACAAAGCTGCTGAATAACATTTTTAAGCTGCTCTCTAGTTAAAATGCTAAGCCTTTCCCCTCATGAGTAAAAAAAAGTATTGTGCATGCACAGTTTTAACTATCTCTGCTCAAATTCTGCCAATTTTTGAATGCTTAGGAATCACACTGAATCTGCTCATTCCCCATCAGGGCTGGTAAATGAATTAGCACTAGAGTTCTGCTATTTTTCTCTTACTCAGTAGTCACATTTGTAGGAGACTATTATTTTTTTTTTTAACACATTAATGCAATGATGGGAAATTTAGCATAAGCTAACAGAGATTTGTAGGTTCTACACCTGAACCAAAATGCACTTTTAATGAGCACCCCAGGAAATTATGCAGTCCTTGCCAAAGTGTAATTAATGGCTTGGAACTGAAGTGTTGGGATAATGATAATCAAGACAAAGAAGCAACTTGTAAGATGGATTTTTCAGGATATGGATGCTTAGCACATCCTCAAAATAAAGCCATTTCTATTGTCTCCATAATGGAGACTCTCACAAATCACAACTATCTTTTAAAAATTTTTGGCTTTTTTGACTGACAGTAAATTGTATTTGTGTTATTAAATGAAAACATCTCCAAACATTTGGAAACAACTTTGCACATTGTGATGAAAATCTATTTGCAATAAAAACAAAAACTAAATGTGCAGAAGTGAAACAAAGATCAGCTCTATATAGCTGCAAAAGTCAACCTCTTTGAGATTTTGTTATCAGCAAAGAAGTAGCAACACTATAGAAATAAGATTATGATCCACTGTATTACTACAAAAACAAAATCTACCTAAACAGAATTTAGCCACTGGAAATCCTTTGACAAAATCTAATAGTTTTGATTTGGAGGACAATTTCTGTTCCTATTTTTTAAGACAATGGAGGAAGACCAGGAGATGCTTAGGCATGTGTTAACATCAGCCCTCTGGGACTACTTTATAAAAATTGCAAGAAGCACATACACAGCAATATCAAAGATTTGGCTTCTTAAATGCATTCTACAAGAGTAGCTTGGTGTCTTTAACTAAATGAATGAGGATAGATACAGCAGTTAATTCATCCTCAGTTTAAAAATCCTAGGTCATATTTTTGTTAAACACATAATTAGAAGCCTTAATGGAAGTTCCCTTAGTTGTCCTTAAGTTCCTGTCAAGACTCTTCCCACCCATTCAGTGTTACAGGTGCTGATTCATGCCCCTGGGTAATTTAGAGGGACTGAACCGTAGGGTGCTTCTTGGGGGAGGCAAAATCCCAACCCAGAAATAAAACCCCCAGAGACTGTGATGAAGGTAAGAAAAGTAACCTCTATAAATCACGAAGAAGCAATTTAATTTTCCTCTAGGTCAGGCATCAAATCTTTTCTCCTACATCAGTGACCCCTGGATACTTAACACTCACTTAGGAGAAATAACAATATTCCATGCCTTATGGCAAGCCAACAAAGTTGATCTTCAAAACAAGGCATCCTAAAGAACCCACTTATCTGCAAAGGACACCATCTCAAAAGAGCATGGGGAGAAATTCTACACTGATTACACCAGTAGCTGTGGGGCACAGCTAGTTAGAAATAGCATCACCTCTTCTCCTTTTCCTAGGTCTGCAGGTAGAACAGGAGAGAGGCAGGATCAGACTTTGGGAGCTGGATCAGACTTCAGGCTTTCTGACTGCTCACTGCCATCTGGGCTTTTGCTACTCACCCTAAAGAGGTGAATCAGAAAAACTGCAGGAGGGAGAAGATGAGTCCTGTGGGCAGTACATTTCTCTTTCTAAACAGTAAGATGAAATGGCTCAGGTTCAGACTCCCAACTTCATGTACAAGAATCTCAGCAATTTCATTTTCAGTTGTTAATAATTTTTATGTTTCCTCAGTGGAAAAATGCTTAAATGTAATTTACATTCAAGCCACCAAAAGGTTATAAACAATTCCCAGACTGAAGGCTGCCAAACTATGTCAATTCAAAAAACCAGCAAGACAAACATAAGTATTCTTGCAAGAAGTACTGTTCACAAATCTGCAGTCCAAGGAAAATGTGCCACAGAAATGAAACAATGGGGAAAAACCAGCCTATTTCCTTCAAGAGCTGTGTAAATACCTCTGGAATGTGTGTAGCCTCCACTGTGTATTTCAGGGTGACCTCCTTCTGGGGTTCGCATTTTCCATAACTTCCTTCTGGTAAGAGAGAGCCTCGGTGTGTGTGCCCAGGTCCCCAGCTAGGGTCTGTCACCCTTACCTGCTGCAGTCAGCAACACCAAACTGATTTAGTGCAGCTGAGGCACTGGCTCATTGCTCACCAGCTATTCTGAGAAGCAGAGCTCAGCCTTTGCCTGTCCCAGCATTGGTCCAGCTGCCTCCTGAACCAGCAGGAGTCAAAGGGGTCGGGCTGCACTGCAGGGGAAGGGAGAGCAGTAGAAAAGAACTTAGATCTCCCAAAATGTGAACCTGTCAAACTGAAGTAAAAATCCTGCCCTGTGGTATCACATTTATCTTTCTCTATTTGCTATCTATATGTGCAATAAAGCACTGGGTGCTTAGCTGATTTGAAAGTTGAGATGGGGTATTCAAAGTTTACTCCAATCTTGAATAGCATTATCTTTCCTTAGTATCAAAACATAAACTAGAGGGAGACAATAACTGAGCTTGTTAAAACTTTGTAACAACTCCCTGGGTCATGTTTTTGAATCACTATGAACAAAGAAACAGAAGTCAAACCCCTTACAGCACTATACAATTCCTCCCTCCTTCAAGTCAAACATTAGTACTATACTGGAGGTAAGAAATCACATTTTCCTTAGGGTTTGCACCTGGAACAGTCATACTGTTAATCAGTTTACAGCTATGTTAAATAATTTGCCAGTACCTGTCTGAAACAGACACAAATAATTTTTTTCTATAATTGTAAGTTCTTCTGCTCATGAGCCCCAACTAAAATTGTTGAAGATTACATACACATGGCCATATATTTGTTTACTACAGATGTTTTTTTGCCGAAGTTCTGCTTGTGTATTATCTATACTGCAATTACATCTGTTGTGTACACCACAAAGACAATCAATAAATAAATTAATGCTTCAGTCAAAACCCCACCTAAATTTACATAGCATACAGAACTTGGCTTAGACTGAAGAATTTAACATAAGAATTTAAAAGCTGGAGTTTGCCATATTTCGTTACGTTCTGCATAGTGTTTGCTCTTCAGAAATTCCTGTTTCAAGACACATAGAAGTAAACTTCCCTTCCAAATGTCTCAGTTTTGTTCAGTTCCTTAACTCTGCAGCTTTACTTTTTTACTGGAACCAAATCTTGGGCTTTCAACAGTACTCCAGTACCATACTCAGGTTCAATATAAGATTATGGAGAACTGGTTTTCTTTGCAGCTCTCTAACCTTTTTGTGTACTTCTGCACACAAAGTACACAAAACACAACCCAGCTGCACAACCCAGCTGATCAAAGGTATTCATTCATGCTCTAACCAACTTCAGTAGGGATTAAACATCTAGACAAGGATCTGTGATTGCCATCTTCACTTCTGAACCTCGGTTTCCAGTCTATAAAATAGAGGCAACCCACACAAACGTAAGGATGTTTGAAATATGTCACTCATGGATGTATCTAAAGGATGGTTTTGAAGAGAGCTGAATAAGGCAGCCGGGCTTGCTTTTTGTTTGGTTGGGGTTTTTTGTTTAACAAAACGGCACATCTGATGCACTCAAGTCCCACCTGAAGAATTTGCATAAGGCTCTGTCTCCGGGAGAGGGACTTTTTTTTCTGAAGAAAATTGTGCAGAGATTCTGAATTCCCAGGGCACTTTTCCTTTCCTAGCTTGAGGAGATCTTTCTCTCTGTTCTCCCAACGCTCTGAGCATCTTGGAAACCTGCCCTGAGGCAAGCAATAAATGAGGGGTGGGGAGACAGGACTAGAGTGTAGTGCCTGGCTCTTCTTGCTTTTGTTTGTAAAATTAAGCATTTTAAAGGGAATTTTGACTGGACTATACTGACTCCAGGGCCCATTTCCCATAGCTAGAAAACCATGAAAGTAGGCTATATAGAGCCATTCTACAACATACTCCAAGTGCAGGTAAGGAACTCTAACACCTGGCAGTAATTAAGACCAGACCTTGGAGGCTAATGGTGGCTCATTTATAGCAGATCGAAGACAGGCCATCTTTTTTGACAAGACTACAGGATCTATGACAGTGGATTATTAACGTAGTTGGCTGGCAGCTGCACTCGAATTCATTGCTGTGGCAGCTGTTCAGTAAAATTTGCTGGAAAATCCAGTGGAGATTAGGTTTTGATGAAAAATTTCAAGGCGCTTTTCTCTAATGTGAGCAAGCACAAACCTCCTGTGCTTATTGAATATTGCAGATCAGCAAGATAAGGATGCTTTTGCCTAAGTGGATGGAAGGTGCTGGGAAATGTGGGCTGCTCCCAGCCGGTCTGTGCTCTCTCCAGCTCCACGTTCTCCCCAGTCCTGTTCAACAACATCCACAGCCTGTCATTAGAGGGCCCAGCTGCAAATGCCAGGGCCGTGCTCCTGAGGCAATTACCCACGCCTCTGTGTAACTGCGGCACTCGCCTAGAGTGCATTACAGGGAGACACTTATAGCAAAACAGGATGCGATGGGTACGGAGCTTTTCCTGACCAAGGAGAAAATGCGTCATGCAACTTGATGGTGTTGCTTAACATATGAAATCGCCTTAGTTAGGCGATTAGATAGTATGCAGCATGGCTGACTCGAATTTCTGGTCCTACTTTCTCTTTTCCCCCAACATCAAGTACATGGCTGGAAGCTACAGGAGACAGGAACCCGGCTGACTGGGAGCGGCGGGAGTGACTGCTTATGCAGTTCCAGCTACAAGAAATGCGAGGGTAAAGAAACGACAGTACTTCTGGCTTAACATCAGCGAGGAAAAACTTCCCCCAAGTATGATCGAACGTTTTAAGATTCACCTGACAAGATCTGTTTTGACTGCTGGCGTGGTTACATTAAGCCGCCCAATTAACCCATCCACGGCCCGTCCGATAGCACCAGCTTTTGAAGGTAAAGCGAGGTGCTGCTCCCCGCTGACCCACACCGGAGAAGGCGCGCTGGCCCCGGCGCTGCCGCTCGCCGGCCGCAGCCCGTCCCGTTCCGTCCGGTCCCGTCCGCTCCGCGCAGCCCCGCACCCGCCGCGCTCGGGGCAGCAGCCGCAGCTCGCCCGCAGGGGAAGCGGCGGCTGCCAGGGCGGGCGGAGTCGGAAGCACGACAGCACGGGGCGCTGGGGCGGCGCTGGTGGCGGGGGCGGGAGCAGTAGCAGCTCGGCACTCGCTGCCGTGCTGGGGTCGCGGCGCAGGGACGGAGCCGGGCAGCGCCGGCCCCGCAGCAGCGCCAGAAGCAGCAGCGGCAGGAGGAGGAGGAGTCGCCGAAGCCGCCTCCCGCCGCCGAGCGCGGGGAGCCGCCGGAGCCGCTGCCCCGGGCGGCTTGCGAGCGCCGGGCTGCGGCGCCGCCGCTGCTTGCCGCCGCTCCGCGGGTGAATGAACCTGTCCCGGCCGACCACGACGGCGGCTTCGCCTCGGGGTCCGGCACCAGCCTCTCTCCGCACAAGATGGACGGTTTCGCCGGGAGTTTGGGTGAGTCCCGGCGGGACGGGACGGGACGAGGTGCGGGCAGCCCGCCGTGCGGCGGGGCCCGGGACGCGCACCTGCGGCCGGCGGGGATGCCGGAGCCGCGGGCTGGGACTGCCCGGGGCCGGCCGGGCCGGTGCGTGCGAACACCGCCCGCGGCGGGAGGGGAGGGGATGCCAGCGCGAAATCTGGTCAGCTTCAAACCATCTGTTGCGAGAGCTCCGGCTGCACTTGCCTTCTTTGTTCTTCCCTCGCCGTGGGTTTGCGCTTCCCCAGAGCTAGCTATTTGGCTTTGGGATGATGGTTTGGCTTAGGTTGTTTGGGGTTTTTAAAAATGTTACTTTGTTTTTTGCCTCTCCCTTTTGCTCCGGGGTGGGAGGGACGCCGTCGATCCGGGCGCAGCGGGCCCGGTGTCTCGCCGGGAGCCGCGGGCGGCTCTGCCCTGTCCCGGCTCAGAGCGGCTCCAAGGGGAGCGCAGCACCCCTGGAAACTTGGGGGCGCTGGCGGCATCCGCGGGAATGGTAACGGGGTAGTCGGCGCCTTCCCGGTGTCCGAGCATCCGTCCGTGTGCCCGAGGAAGCCTCCTGGCTGCCTGGGCGGCAGGTTCATCTGCGGAGCCGTGGCGTGGTCGAAAATATTTACTGCTTGCTCGTGTAAATGTTGCCAAAAAACTGATAGGCTGCGCTGCCTTCAGTTTTATGATGGCTGCGACAAATTCCCACCAGTTTCTTGAAGCAAAAATACTCCACCAGCCTAGTTTTTTACTTTTTTGTGGGGACAGATTGCATGTGCTACCAGGTGTTGCTGATTACAAGTATGAACTGAACATGCATTCAAATGTAAGAATTGTAAACCGTGTAAGTTTCCATTTCTGCAAATTATAAGAGCATTGGCTTTGCAGTGCTGTCTACCTGCTGTTCTCACCGTGTTCACTGCCGATGCATCTATTGCAGGCGTTTTGTAATTAAACTCCATCTTTTGTAGAATAATAAAACTGTGCCTCTTAAAAATAAGATTAATTTATTTTTATGTCACTCCTGTAAAATCTGTAGTAACAGTGAATAGTTCTCAATTTTCTGGAAAAATTGACTCATTTAAATACTTCTGAGTGTGATCCTAACCTTTCAGGTTTTTGAAATGTCAACTCCAGCATTTTGGGCATCTCTCCAAACCAAACTGGTGCACCATAATTAACAGTATGCTTTGGTAGTTTGGCTCTTTGCCAGGCATACTGTCCTTGCTCAAGTAACTGCCATGGCCATTTTAAATCTAGTGATCAGAAAGCGACACATGGAGGAATTGCACGGGTTCTGTTCCCAGTTTTCTGAGGGAAGATTGTGCCTGTGGGTGACATATGCAAATGTTCCATGGTTAATATTTATGAACCTCTTAACCCAGCAGAACTGATCACCATATCAAAGCACACCGATATTGCTTTTAACTCGTGCAGTATTGGTCCCGAGAGAGGTCGATATTTAGAAACAACTGGCTTTTGTTGGAAGTAGGAAAAACTCAATTACTATGAAATAATAAAGCTCTGCTTTCTTGCATGAGGTTCTCAGTGAGCAGTGGTGTGGGATCGCCGGGTGGCCCAGCACCTTGTGCTGGAGCCGCGATGGGCTCATTGGGGCATCCCATGTGTCTTATTAAGGGAGGCTCCGTCTGGACCTTTAATTTGTTTCACTGTTTGTTCAGGAAGGCGCTGTGATTTTGTGTGAATTTAATGAGGATTAAGCTCAGCTCAGCCTTTTAAAATGGGCATTATGATATTCACTGCTAGTTGGCCTTTGATTTCGCTTTTGAGGCAAGCACTGATGCTCAGAGGTTTTCTGGACTTGGGCTAAAGGGAGGGCATTCCCAGAATCTTTTGCTTTGAAGTATGAAACTTTACGTGACTTTTTTGTTTCCAGGTTTGAATCATGCAGCTTAGTCCTCTTCTGTATTTATAATCACTTGTTGGCCGTTCTAGCTGCTAATGAGCACATAGAGTTCACAAAGATGTGTGAATTGTTCTGAGACCTTTTTTTTTGAAATGTCTCTAATTAAAATCTAATGGCTTGAATTTAATTAGCTGTCCGCTAAATGTCTTTTAGGAAGGCCATAAATTAATGTAATTTAGAATGAAATGTAAAAATTAATTAAAATTATTGTTGGCAAAACCCTGCTGTCTATGTATGTGCATGCTCAACCAGTCAAGCAAGGTTATTAGAGAGCAAGTTGTCCTTTTAATGCCTCTTGTCATTATCTGGAAGGCAAAATGTTATTACAGATTGTGCCCTCTAGCACAGGCAGAAATACCTTCTTGCATGTCTCTTGCAGTTGAAAATACTTTACGCAGCTGTTTTCTTTTGGCTTCCACATTGAAATTTTTATGAGACTAAACAGATGAAAGAAACCATTTTATATGTAATTTAGAAAATTGTTTTGGTTATTGGCTTAGTAAGTGCTTATGTAGCACTCTACTTACGAGTATACAATTACTGTGTACAGTAAAAAAATAAACCTATATGAGTTAACTTTAACAGTTGAAATAGGTATTGATTATTTTGATAAAGCACTGAGTTATTTTCCGTTTGCTGTGACTTCAGTACCTTTAGAATATCACAGTGATATTTGAATCCCATGCATTATCTCAAGTAGGACAGTTGTATCTCACATTTGGCATTACCAACGTGATGGTTGTCAGAGGTCTCAATGGATTCTGGCCATCTGCTTTTTCAGATGCATCCCTCCAAGTCAAAGAATGTGCTTCTGAATGGGAACAAGAAGTCTGTGAACCTGGGCTGGGTGCCTGGGCTCTCTTGCCTTGTGCCCTGGCTGAGACAGGAGCACAGCATGGGCGTCTGGCTCTCACGCTGCCAAGTTCCCCTGCCTCTCAGGGTCCTCATCAAAACAGATCTGCATCAGGGCAGAGAAAGCACTGCTGATTCTGCCAAAGGACTCAAGCAGAGAGTTCTAGCAAAAGGAAAAAAAAAAAAGGCAAATAAAAAAGACCATGTGGGAAATAGTGCAGCTAAGGCTGTCAATAAGCGTTGCCCTGTTTCATCCCTGGCTCCTGTTTGTTCTGCACTGCTGCCCTGAGTCTCTTCCACACTGGTACTGGTGCCTGCGAGCCCCCGGGTGAGCTGGTTCAGACATGCCCATCAGAGGGCTGCAGAAGACTGACAGTTTTGCCAATAATAATTTTGATTTTTAGGTATCATCAAGGATTATATTACTTTGCTGCCTTGCTGCTTGCCCCTGCTGTTTTGGTGGGTTTCTGCCTAAATTGGCTCGCTGGGGAGTAGGAGAAGCGTGCCAGGTGGTGGGAGGGAAGCAGAGGGAGCTTCAGCTGGGGCTGGGTGGGACCGGGTGGCACTGTGCATAGCTGTCAGCTCCGGGAGTGACTTTGCTGGGTCGTGCCTAAGGTGTGAGATTTGCTAGATTTAGACTCCGGAAGAGTCTAAATCTAAGTCTCCGTGACAGGCTGCCTGCGGCTGCTGAGGAGTGAGTGCTCTTTGCTGGACAGTTTTTCATTACTTTTAGCAGCTGCATTGTTTTCCTTTCTGAGAAAGCTTCTGCTAGTTGAACTCTGTAACAATACTCGTGGTAAACAAAGATATGGAAACATTAATCTGATGGTATTAAATAAATCACTACAACCTTTTCCAAGTTTGTCGCCACTGTGTGATAACAGTGTGGAAGAGAGCATTTCAAAAGGACTCTCTCCATTATTCACGTCTGTGGCAGAATAGTAACTCATAAAAAACGGAGAAGTCTCAACTTCTGATTTCAAGCCATGGTTTTTGTGCAGCTGTGCAGGATGCCCTGAAGGTTAGAAGGAGTCTTTCTGAAGGATTCTTTATGGTTGAAATTATTTTCACAGAGAAATTAAAATCACTCTTATCTTGAAGTCTCAGGCAAGCGGAATAATTTAGGAATTTTTTTTTTAAGATTCTTTGAGCCTGTGCATTTTGTTTTCAGAGAACTTGAAGGTGAAGGAGAGCTGAAATTACTAAGTGGAGACCAATGCTTTGCTCTGCTGTTGTTGTTACTGCAGGAAGAACTGGAGACATAATAAAAAAAATTCTTTTTTATAATTTTGTGCAGTATCTACATTTTCTTCTGTCACTGTGTGTGTATTGCTACTAACTGCAGTTTATATGCTAACCACTTACTGGGGGGGTGACATGGAGGTAAGTTCATATAATTTTGCCCCATTTATTTTCCTGGGTATCGTGCAGAAGCTGTCTGTGTCAGGTAGGTTCTGAGGCAGTATTATGAGTCTGTGCTGCTTCTCAGCCCTGCAGGAACCAGCAGTGTCTGTTGGACCTGTGGCTTTGCTAAAACCCAGTAAGGCTTCTCCAAAGCCCCCAGTCTGTGGGGGCAGAACTGCTACAGGGCTCAGGCAGAGAGGATTTTGTGGTCGCTGGTGCCGTGAGCCTGGAAAGCGTGTGTGCATGATGATTCATCTCTGGCTGGGCTCACTACCGAGAAAAATGAGTGTGTGGGGTATTTGTCATTTATTTGGGCTAGAATATTAAGTTTTATCGTTGCCCGTCTAGACTGCAGAAGT